AATAAATTCTGGAAGGGTGGGGTCAGTGGAAGAGCGAGCCACGGCTTCTGGGGCTACAGAAGTGGCTTCTGTGTTATACAGGGCCTCCTCCCACTCTGCCGTGCTGCATTAGGTTGCTGCATTTTACAGCCACAAGATGAAATAAATAAAAAATAAATAAATAATAAATTCTGGAAGGCTGGGGTCAGTGGAAGAGCGAGCCACGGCTTCTGGGGCTACAGAAGTGGCTTCTGTGTTATACAGGGCCTCCTCCCACTCTGCCGTGCTGCATTAGGTTGCTGCATTTTACAGCCTGGCCACAAGATGTCTCCATGTATTGCAGAAATTCTCATTACTGGCAAATATTTGTGGCTCAAGAACGCAGCAGGTTGGGGGAAAGCAGGCAGGAAGCATTCCTTAATCAAAGCTCTAGGGTTTGTTTATCTCCACCTCAAGGAGGTCCTTGTGGGCTATCTCAAAATGCAAGCATTTTTGGAAATCAAGCCCAGGATCATCCACACTCTTGTCTTTCTGAACGGGTGTAAAAAACTGGGCAGTTAAGAAAGGAGAAAGGGGGACGGGATGGTTTGTTTGAAATGTGGTACTAGGAAAGAGCTTTGCAGAGCCTGCCAGAAAGACAGATAAATGGGTCCTAGAGCAAATCAAGCCTGAACTCTCTCTGAAGGACAAAATGCGGAAACTGAGGCTGTCCTCCTTTGGGCACCTCCCGAGAAGGCAGGATTCTCTGGAAAAGACAATAATGTTGGCAAAGGTGGAAGGCAGCAGGAAAAGAGGAAGACCCAATATGAGATGGATTCAGTCCATCAAGGAAGCCCCAAGCTTGGGTTTGCAGGAGCTGAGCAAGGCCACTGAGGACCGGGCACTGCAGAGGTTACTCGGGTCCCCACAGGTCGGAGGCAACTCAGTGGCACATAACGACAAACAACAACTAAAGTTAAGCGAATAAGCACATTCATGCAGCCTAGAGTTGGGGGCGCACCAAGAAAACTCCAACGCAAAGGCAGTTCATTCTGCTTTTTATCAATGAAATGCTGCATCCTCTCCTAGGACCTCTATTATAAACGGAAAACTGTCAGCGCCAAAATGGGAGGAATCATCGCGGCCGCCGAGCAGGCGGGCGATGGCGACGCAGAACGCGGCGTTAAGGGTTCCGTGCGGACGCCGATGTCATCGACCCCTTCGGGGATAAATGGTTTCCCTTCAATCGCTGTTGCTTTTTCGATCCAGTCTATGTAGTGGAAAACCACGGTGTAAATGGCGGGGCTCCCTTCTCGCTCGCAGTGCTCGCCCTTCCTGGCGACGGCAACCATGAACCATTTCGTGTTTTTCCCGTGAGTGCAAACCAAAGGGCTCCCACTGTCATCCTGGGAAGAGAAAAAAATCAGGTCACCATAAATAGGTCCTGCTGGATGGACAGATCTGCGAGTCCGGTCTCTGGCTGCCGAGCCAGCGGTTGGGAGTTCGATTCCCCCACTGGGCCTCCTTGACAGGGACGACCCATAGGATCCCCTTCCAACTCTGCAACACGAAAACATTCCTCCCTCCGCATCCTAGACATCCGGAGCACTGGCAGACCCAGGATGCCCCAGAAGCAGTCAAAGTTCATGCTTCCACCCCCGGCCAAATCCTCCTGCTCCCGCAGCTCAGAAGCAGGTTGATTGTACCCGGCATATCTTTGGCCCCTCTTCTTCTGAGATGGAGCACATCACATCACCCTTCAGGCCCGGGACCTTCTCCGCGCACGCTTCCCTGCCGATCACAGTCATCTCCGTCCTTTTCAGCACCTTGGTGGTTCCGTTCTCGTCGGCACCGGGTCCTGTGGAGAGGTCAGAGGAGCCCGGAAACGATAAGAGAGGAAGGCGGGGGAGAAATCACACAGTGCTTTCTTTGGGCCTCTCCGTCTGCGCTGCATGTAGGGAAGCTAAACCTGCACCAGTTTTGGAAGTGCAAGAGGTCAACGTGGCTGCTTCATTTGGCTAAAAGGACCGGCGGTCAACCTCTGTCCCTCCTATCCACCCACCCCCGATGGGTCAGGCTAAAACCATCGAGTCCAACCCCCTGCTCAAGGCCGGAATCCAAATCACAGCAGATCGGACCGAGGGGCGGTCCAGTTTTCCTTCGAATGCCTCCAGTGTTGGAATACTTTGAGACTTAAGAGTGACACCCAGAGACCTTGAGACCTTGCAGAGAAATGGAGAACATCTGGAAATGGAGCAGGGCAATCGGATCCCAAACCCAATGCCCAGTATTTCTATCCCACCTGGCTAATCCAGAGGTAAAGTCGTCTCCCTTATGCCTTTGGGCTCCCAACCGGCTCAGTCACGCAGGAACTGGCCTCGCCCATGCTATGAGCTGCCCAGGGGGGTGGGGGCGCTTGACAGGGATGGAGCCTCAACATAATCGCGTAGCTTCAGGAGAGCTTCTCAAAAACGCATAACTCAGCTGGACCCTGCTTTTGCTTCCCCCGGGGGGTCGGTTTCGTCCCCTTCCTTCCACCTGATGTCTGAAGCTGGGATACAGAAATGCTCGACCATTCGACTCAGTGGCAGCAGCTTCATAGAGAACAGAGCTGAG